TAATAATTTTGATGAACACATCACCTGTATTGACTTTATTGACAAGCTTGACTAGCTCAATCACTAGTGTTTACCGTCAATCTTGACTAGCTTAGTTGAACGGAGTTTACTGCCAATCTTGACTAGTTCAATCACCAAAGTTATACACAACCCGCATAATAGCATGATGTCGTTTAAAACTCTCTAAAGTAATAATTTTGATGAACACATCATTTGTATTGACTAGCTCAATCACCCGTGTTTACCGTCAATCTTGACTAGCTTAGTTGAACGGAGTTTACCGCCAATCTTGATTGGTTCAATCACCAAAGTTTACTTCTAATCTTGATCGGTTCAATAAGCAAAGTTTATCGTCAATCTTGATTACTTTAATTGAATTGAGTATATCGCCAATCTTGATTAGCTCAATCACCAAAGTTTACCGTCAATCTTGATTTGTTCAATCAAACAGAGTTTACCGTCAATCTTGACTAACTCAATCATCATAGTTTAATGTCAATCTTGATTTGTTCAATCAAACTGAGTTTACTGTCCATTTTGACTAGCTCAATCACCAAAGTTAACCGCCAATCTTGACTAATTCAATCGAATAGAGTTTATCGTTAATCTTGACTATTTCATTTCTATGCTCAAAAACTCCATCACTATCAATGTTACTTATTGATCATTAATCACATAATGATCAAACTCCTTCACAACCATATCTATGAGTGAAATTTTTTCCTTTTCAGTACAGAAAGCATGTAAGATCTACCCTCTTTAATGATCTAGAGTTCATTGAAAGAAATATCACTTTTAACAAAAACCTTACACACTACTAGATCCCATAGCATGTAACCCGTAAGTGTTATATATTGTCATCAAAAAAATCAACCTTCTTGATCTTCATTCTCCAATTTGTCGTGTTCTTTAATCCTAAAAACTTCACAAGGGAGCTTTGCGGTTTGATGATGATCCTCAACCGGGCCGGCCGATGACTCCTTGCAGCTTTGCCTCCAATCATCATGCCAATTGGCAAGGCCATGCCATGCCGCGAGATCCAAATTCACCAACAATTTTCTCACATCATGCGATTTCAGTCCATGGATACGACTTCTAAGTCACGATGTCCGGATTCTAGACTCCCCAACACAAGCTTGATTTTTTAAATCAATCTATTCTGGCTCTACCTAAAGGCGACAAGTAAAGATCCAAGAGCGTGTAATTGATTGGGATCAAAACATTTTGAGTAGTAAAAATCTCTGATTCATATGATTCGAGACATGGAATAGACGGATCGCTTATTATGTGCAAATTGTTGTATCATAGCTTTATAATGAAGATGGGAAAGAAAGAATGAGGATGGGGACTAAGGCCAGCTTGACGTTTGACCATCACCGCAACTTTTCAGCCATGTAAATCATTCCTGTTTTTCAATAATTACAAGCGATGCAGCAGGTTGTATGAACCGAAAGCAACTGTGACGCAAAAGATAATGCCTTTATGTGACACTTCAGAGTGTACTTGACATGCACGTAGTCATCTTCTACAACTTCCAAAATTATGGCAGAGAGGTCTTTAGAAGCTGAAGCCAAATATTCTAGTCGTGCAAAAAATCCAAGAACCAGACCTCATCCTCATGCGCTGAAAGAACACACTTCCAGGTTTTCTTCTTCGATTTTGAAAAACCGTAGGTGAGACGTAGCTTCAAGGTCTTAGTTGGGATCTTATCACAACCGCAACAATGATCGGCAAGGGAAGAATCCACGGTGTTTTGCTCAGTGTGTAAAATTGCTATGAGCTTTCACATTCGCCTCAATTCTTTGCACTCAGATTAATCAAGCATTTACTCACACTGGATTCAAACTTCTGAAAAGATTTTCGCCTCAAAAAAGTTTCCATCACCACAAAAAGTTCCTTCTATCCGAGAAAGTGTCACAAACTTTGATATACTATCACATGCTTCTAAAAGTTGAGGCAAAACAGAAATCTTAATTTGGACTCCACAAGCCTTATTAAAACTCTGAAGGTATTAGACAGTCTCAAACACAAGTTAGTTGAAATGAAACATTCCAAAAACTGTCAAGCTTTGTTTGTCTTCAAACTTGTCAGCTTCTTTTTGAAATAACTATCAATAACTTTACAAAGGAAACAATAATTGAAAAACCGTAACAGTCTTTTATTTCATTTTTTGTCAGCAGCAGTTTGTCAACAAAGTTTGTTTCAAAAAACTTTCAAACTTTTGTCACAGTATAAAATTGTCAGCTGTCGAAACTCTCATCGTGGGATTTCTGTCGGTTTGTCTCAAATAATCGTTAGTAAAGTTCACCTTCGACTCAGACTACAACACATGTAATAAAATCCGAATCAAAACCTGCTCTGATACTAATTGTAAACGTAAAACCTGGAAATCATCAATGACAAAACATTCAAGCCAACAACAAGACACCAACGTATAACGTCGTTCACCCTCAAGATGGCTACATTCACCGGAAACTCACGCGTGAGAGTATATTTAAAAAATCTATACGTAATACACAAAGCTTGGGGCATAAGTATCCCAGCGCCGATGATCCTTCTAGGTATTTGAGCTAGGACCTAAGGTTTCTCCTTAACAACTTTGACATCATACTTAAACTTGTTGCAACTAGCTTCAAATGAAAGTTAGTTGCGACAAGTCAAAAGAAAGATGTTATCAATTTCCTATGATAAAGTTATGAATAGCTTCATACATTTGATAGTATGTACAAAATATGATATTGCCCTAATTATGCACAAGGTAAACAAATACATGTTTAATTGAGTAGAATACATTAGCAATTTTGTTACATATCTATGTAGTTTTCTATTTTGTTTTGGCAATCTTTTATTCCAGTTAACTGTTGTTGGATGAATCAGTTTCTGTAATTATATTGATTATTGCAGTTATTGTACTCATGATATGAGTTAAAAATGATTTTCAGTTATCAACTCAAGATAGTTTAATCCCAATTAAGGCTTAGGTTACGTTGTCACTATAAAAAATAGTTATTAAAACTCTTTACATTTTTTCTCGATTTTCATCATTAAAATTTTTATTGTGTTTCAGTGCACGTAGCCCGTAATTACATACCACATACTACCGATGTCTTTGTTTTGGTCTGAATGCTCATGAATGTGTGATATTCTTGTGAATCAATCCAACAAGATCAAATCACGTTTATCGTATTTTAAACCTCAAAATGAATATTTTAGTGATGAAAAAAGTGAAAATTATGTTTTATCAATAAAATCATCCGCAATTCAATTGAGTAAGATATCACCTTAACTTTATTTACAACATAAGTTCATAATGTTTGTTAGGTCAAGACTAAGTTTAATGACATGAAAGATCTATGTAAACATATCATATGATATTTTTTTAAAATATCATATGATATTTGCTTAGTGAACCGATTTATATCAAATTTTATAAAGTGGTCGACAAAGAAATGAAATAATTTCAGAAACTCTCTTAAATCTTATATTTTATCGTATTATATTGACATCAACATCAATGCTTCAGTTTCCCTCTATCATAACGCAGCAGTTTACACATGTAATGATTTACTGCTAAATTTTATTTGAATAAAATAATTTCTTACTCCAAAAGCTTGATGTGTACAAATCCATATTTATTAGTTGTAGCATCTTGAAATACATCATGAAGCTACATACATGTAAGCAGAACTTGCAAGCTTAAAAAGAAATCCCAACCATAGCAATTGGATCCAGTGGATTTTATGTTATAAATGTCAATAGCATATTATTCGAAATTAATATCGAGTAGTATATATGTCATGACATGTTACAGCGAGACTGTCATTTATTAGCAAAGCAAATGTCCCTCTGCTAAATTCCAAACCAGACGGTAGACACACCGAAAAAACCTGTCCCAATTTCCCACCAGACCTTGACTAATTCCGAGGAGTAAACGGTGATCATATATTGCTGTTTCTGAACGTAAATTACAGAAGAAACTGAGCTCCTAAAGGTCAACTTTTTAGATCTAGTTCTCCCAACATGACACGATCCTTGATAACATCCTCTGTAGCATCTGGAATGTTTCAACTGCATGCTTAAACTGAATCATGCAGTATTCCTCTTACTGTGAAAATATAGTGACTTAATCCCGTCATACTCTCTCGGTTTCATCTTAATAGGATCTTCCCAATTTTCTATACCTACAACTTGTTACCTGAAGTCTATGAGTTGTATGAGCCCCCAGAAGTGATGCTCATATCCACATTTCCATAAACAGATCTTTTCTCTCAGCTTTAGTGTATAACAAGAATAATTTTTCCCTTTGATACATCCATATAATACAACGGATTCGTTTTATTGAATCATTAAATAAACTATGCGAATAGCAAATGTGGAATTGAGTTGGAAGACATGTGCTCAAACGGATCATTACATTCATGCTCTATCTTGAACTCTATTGACTTCATCATAGTTGATTCCATCACTGCTCCATGGTTGTCATAGGGTGTTATATATACAGTACACACATAACAGTTAATCTAAAATGTCTTTCCTTACGTTAATGCCAACGTCAAATAGCTGTGTTTCATAACAGAAAATAGTTATGGCAGTCCCATCGTTAGGAAAGGTATTCCAAGGGTCCTTAGGGAGGGCAGCATTGCCCAAGTTTTTGGGATCTATGGGAGAGATTCGGTCTCATTGGCCTGGTCTGCAGATCTAAACTTCCTTCGGCCGGGCATCGAGCGCCTGCCATGACGTTCGGAGCCAAGGACGGGGCTGCGGAAATCACAGCACAGATCTGGACGTCGAGTGAGTATGACGATATTATTCATATGCGTTGAAAAAAATTCTTCTCCCTCCAGTGGATGAGAAATTCTTCCTTCTTCATGTCATCGATCCAGCCTACGGCTTCATGAAAGAATCCGCAACTGTTGATATGGAAGGCCGTATATAAGCGAGCATCTTTCAGGATTCTGAGCATGAATCGTTCATTTCGATCTCCAGACGCACGAACAAAGTTCAGCGCTCGGGATCTGCCGTATCCGCCTGAAGAAGTCCATCTAATTCACAGGGTACTAGACCGATCTCTTGAGCTCAGCGACCTGACCGAGCGCTCACATTCTTCTCCTACAACTAGCCACTTCTCGAACTGTACTAGTAGCTACAGCATGGACAGAACTCATGGGACGTCGACTCTGGCCGTGTTTCTCAGTGCCCTGTGCATCCTTTCGTCGGGATGGTTGAGCCCTGCGAGCGCCATGGACTTCAAGGCCGTCAAATTCACATACTACCTTCACGACAGCTTCGTGCCGCCAAACGTTACCGTTGTCGTGGTAGCTGGCGCCAACGCCACCTTGACTGGCGTACCTACACTAGGCGATATCAGCGTCTTCGACAGCATTCTCAAGGAGACAGCTTCCAATGCTTCAGCTCAAATCGGGCACAGCTCGGGAGAACTGGTGTCCCTCAGTGATCCAGCACAGAATTTCATTACCTTCGTGCAGGAGATCACAATCCTCGGCTATTCCGGAACGATCTCAGCCTCCGCAAGGTTCAACTTCACCGCCTTATCTTGGGAGGTGGGCGTCAGCTCTGGCACGGGTTCCTTCAGAGGAGCGATGGGCTACTTCAGAGTCACCATAGTCTCTCTGGACCCATCTTTTCCCGTTATCAAGTACGAAGCAAATCTGATACTCCCGCGTCACTAGAATTGACGTCATCGTTTGCGGGGCGTTCGAATGGAATACAGATTAGGTACTGTCTGTCTGTTATTCGGCGCATTCGTGGAGCTCGGGAGCTGGAGGCTGCGCTCGTTCCCGTTTAATTTTTCAGGAAGAAGTTAATTGCACAGTTATGCACTTGGTAGCTCTCAGACATCATATTGATTCCTCTGATACACCTCTTCACTTATTATTACTTCCAGCTAGTTGTGCCCATGCGTACATGCGTAAAATATGCACAAAGATTTCAATTCCAGATCATTGAAAATCTACCATGCATTGAAGATATCACACGATAATATACAAGTCTTGTGTATGCATCTTATTATGTTTATTAAAAATATTTTTCACTATGACATGTCTTCTCATGTAGTTTTTTTTTAAATTCCATGAATTTGATATATAATTCTTTTAAATAATAGTAATTGTAAAAATTCCAAAAAATTGCAATCTCGCTATTGGATAAAATTTTAAATTAAAAAAAAACACTTAATATGTCACATTTTTAGTAGCAATCTTGAGAATTTAAAAGTTTCACATCACTCTTGCAAAAATTTTTGAATATCCTTTTAGATTTTAATTTTGATATAGGCATAATAACCGTCTATTTCCCTAAAATCTTGAAGTTTTGATAGGATGTGTTGCATTCTTATGGTATTTTTAAATTCTCAAGATTCTCTTTAAATGATCAAATTGCTCAAAATTCCACAAAAATTCAAACAAATAATAGTAGAATCCTCATTCGTTTAAATTTTTTTCATCTTTGATAATGAGCAATGTCAATTTTGAACTTTTTTTTATTGAAAAAAACTTTGAATTGATTTGAACTTTACATTTTAATCAAAATACAAAACTTATCATTAAAAAAACGATAAAAGTTGAAATCAATGAAAGCCAAATTTTAAAACTGGTTAATTATAAATCGAGCCATATAAAAGGGAAAATTAAGTGTTTTATAATACTCTTTGTCAAATTTCTAAACCACATAATTTTAAAAAAATATCTTATGATAGATTCAAATCAAGGTATTGAAAGATTTAACAGTTGGAAATTATATTTCTTAGTTTTAATATTAAAAAAAGATATAAAATTTTAAATCCAGATCTACATCATAAAATATAATGGCTAAATACAATGTGATGTAAATAGATTATACTTTGCCATTTGAACTATTACCAAATTGATATAAGAACCGAATTTGAAAATGATGTTGAAAAAATTTGTATACTTTATTTCCTCATTCACATGTTCTTTTCGAAACAAATTAGTATTAGTGTCATTTTATGCACTATCATAGTCAATTTCATTCGTTTTCATACTTGTCATCTTGATAAATGAAATCGTGAAATTTGTGCTTTGTTTAGATAGAAGTTTTTTTCCAATCAGATCAAAGCATCACAATTTTGTCGATGAATTTAGATCAAGTAACAATAATACATCTTCATTAATACTTAGAATACCAAATTTCAGGATTTTGGGTTTAACATAAAAAACCTAAATTTATCGTCAGTAAAATTTAATTCAAGACAATAACTTTTTTATGGACAAATTTTGACTAAAATTTCTTATGTCAGCATTTTTTCATACTGAGTTCTTTTTAATTTAGTTTTCTCATAACGCATGAAGTTTTCACTTGAAAGTATAAAACTTGAAAATAATTGTAGGTTTTAGCATAATCTAGATCTAGCATAAAAAAGCTAGATCTCGTCGTCCTTATTAGTCACAGTTGAAACTCTAACAAGTTTCTGATAACATGTTGTCACCTAAACCTAGTTGTAAAGAAGCTCTTCAAAAACCTCTTAAAATAAATTTTCATATTGCCATGTAATGAGAATAAAAATAACTACCAAACTTTACTTCAGTAAAAGTAATTTAAACTATAATGATCATGTATAACTGTAGTAATATTTTCAATGAATACACATAGAGAAGTACAAAATACATTCTTAAGCAAGTTTGAAAAGTTTACTGTATGAGCAATTTTCTTTCCATGGAAATTTAATTTTTTAATCATTTTGAAATATTAATAAGAGTGTAATTTGAGTGATGAGTAGAAGGATTGTGTATATAGTAGAGAATGTGCGTAATGTGATTTTGTATATAAAGTATTAACTTTTAGAATCATAATGAGTTTTAAAAAAATATCTAAGTTAAAATTCAATGAATAAGTCCGGAATTCAAATTATTTTGTTTATTGCTAGGACCTCAGTCTATAATTCAAAGTTTTTCAAAATCATTTTTTTGACCAAGATTAAATGACAATTATTTCAATCTAGAATTCAAAAAATTTAGAAATAAATTGTTTTACCAAGAGAAAACGACAATTATCTAAATCTAGAATTCAAATATTTTGAAATAATTTTTTTTTATCAAGAAAAAATGACAATAATCTGATTTAGAATTCAGAATCATTTTTATTATCAAGAGAGATAACAATGACAATACATTTCAAAGTAAGTTTGAAAATTTTATGTCAAATAAATTTGGTAGAAAGTTTTTTATTTACAAAATTACATATAATATTTTATTCTCTTGGTTTTGAAAGAAAAATAGTTAAAAAAATAACATTTTGAAATACTTTTTTATATCAAATAGGTAAAGTAAATATTTATTTTTATTTCAAATTTGAATTTTGTTTCCAACCCAAATTATGAACTTTAAAAATAAAAATAACTTTACTCTCAAGTTATTGATTAAATTATCTCAAATTAGCACAAGTTTCTAAGTGAGTGAAGTGTTAATACTCACGTGTGTAACAAAGTACCATGAGAATGGAGAAGCAAAAGTATTATGAGTGAAGGGCTAATCCTCACGTGTTAAACAGAGTACCATGTCAGTGGAAAAGAGAAACGTGTGAAGGCATGGGGAGGTATACAGCAGTGAAATTACACAGTGCGTTATCCTCTTCAATCATCTTCTGAGTTCAGGGCTTAAGGTCTGTTAATCCCCATTGACATCTCAAGAGGTTTCACATTATACATTTGTCAAGTTGGTTCATTAGCTGCTGGCCATATCGCCGATAGGACAACTTTGATAATATTTCTCTTACGCTTTCTTTCACTCTTCCGCTCTTTGTTCTTGCGCGTTTGGATTATTCTGACACGCTCGTAATTGGAGATTGTTTCTCACGGCACAAAATAGGATGCATCCGTGCCTCTAAACCTCCATAATTGTCGATCGAGTTGTTCTTGGAATCAATCGAGTAGCGACATCACAAGCCATCTTACCCTTCTCCTTCTTCTTGATTTGTTCTACTGCACACAAAGCTTCTTATGCAGTCAGGGCCACCAAAAGGGAGGCGTCTGTGGCTCTAAACCTCCATAATTGTCGATCGAGCTGTTCTTGGAAGCAACCGAGTAGCGAGATGACAATTTATCTTACCCTTCTCCTTCTTGATTAGTACGACTGCACACAAAGCTTCATATGCAGACAGCAAGAGTGTTTTCTCTTGAATTCACAGGTGCAACGCGTTGAGACACAGAGCATCTATATCAACCGAAACTTTGGACTGAAGGAGATCAATCCGCGGAGGAGATCGGAGCCGAACTCCTCCGCATGCTGACTGCCATCCGCCATGATTGCTTGATCTGCCATACTCTCGACACTCCGTTCTAGGCTGCGTGTGTACCTCTCGAACTGTGCGACATCTCGACACCTGTAGCAACTCCCTGAACATTTCTCCACACTCTATTGTGGGCTGCGTTTGTAACTCTCAAATTGTGCGACTTCTCATTTCTCTCCGTCTGAAATCAGCTCATCGTTCCCTGTCTAAATTGCAAATCTGAGCTCCGAAGACTTGACGCGCTCGTGAATCTTGCTGTGATTAGCACACAAACTGCTTCTTATACCCACGAGGGAAAGCGGCGGCCAGAGTTGGCTCTCTTTAGAAGAAAGCTCGCTTTGTTTGTGTGTGGTCAAAGTCCGCAAGTTAAAGTATAGGACTCGCCTGTACTTTGACAGTTCATGGCACCACCTGCTTTACCGGTCGATCTTGTAGTTTGGAACTATGTTCTCCCACCTGCTTCTAACCATAGTAGAGTTAAGAGATCGGAATGTCCAGTCCTGACGAGGAATGGAACGAGAGGATAGTAAAGTAGCAGCAGGAAGCAGAGGGGTGGAGGGGCGAGCGACCGCTGAAGCAGTGACAACAGCCAGCTGAATTGTGCTCTGACAACCTTCGAGGTCACATTTGGTTGCTCTATTCATTGAAGTTCCAGACCCCGTCGTGCTGAATGTGAAGCTGAATTGTGTCCAGAGAGTGGACAGATCGTCGATCCCTTCCAGCATCGACTATTGCCGCGTTCCGGAATTCTTGTCCGATTACAATCGACTTTGAGTGCTGAGGCGTCGTGTGGTGCTTACAGGCAGTGGGAGGAGGTGGCACTTGATGTGTGCCTTCAGGCGAACATCAAGTGCCACCCCATTAGCTGCTGTTGCTGAAATGTTTTCAGAATCGGCTTGCCTGGCAACGTCGTGCCGATCTGCAGAAACGTCGGAACACCTATTTCTGGTGGCGAGATAGGTGATGCCGGGAGCTTTGAACTCGTGGACAGTCTGTCATCTTGGGTTAGACGGACTGCTCACTTCACCAGTGGACGAAGTCACATATCAACACTTCAGCGGCATTTCCTCTTCTTACTGCAGCTATTCAGCAAGAACCCAAAGCAAGAACCAGGATTCCGGGCTGAAAGAGTAAATTGAGCTGACAGTTGGGTCGTGTTCAAATAGCAGAGAGGACGGTGGGATGATGCTGATGGACTGTGCAGTAGAGTCAATGTCCTGTATAGTGTTAGCCAAGGTTCCACAGTATAGATCAAAAGTGTCCAGCCCAGCAGTTCATTGTCTTCAGTGGAGTGGACTGGCGTAACTTGAGTAGAAGCCGGGAGTGAGGTCACTTGATGCAGCTAGATTCGCTGTCTACCAGTATGACTATACATCCAGTTTTTTTCACAGCTTAGGGTTCGTCACATCTGAAATATCGGCAATTTCATGACATTCTGCTTCCACATCGCACCATCTCTACGAACTTGTCTTTTGGATTTCAAAGTCTACCTGCAGAGCTATCAACTTGTCCAGTCAGTTCGGTCACCAGTCCACATCAAACGCTTCTCTCTCAGAATCTTTACCGGGAGAGGGGAAGTCCCCTTTGCCACACGGTGTACGAATTAGCTCGTAACCAGAATCCTGGTATTCTCCGTTCATTTTGTTGTTGTATTCTACCTTCATTTTGTTGGAATGTCCCTTGTTTGTTGTGAGCTCGAGCAGCCTCCTGCTTCCACTTTGCGCAATCTCCCCGCGTTCGTGGTGATTGCTATTGATCCGCGTATCGGGAGAGCTTGGAGTGACATTTGTGTCGCTACTCGTGCAGATTGCAAGAAGTCTCAAGACACTACGACGGGAAGTTCAGTTTTCTTCGAGAGAGTTTGCGGATCGAGGAGGGTGGCTCCTGTAGAGGCGCGGTTACATTTCGCCATTACAATTCTACAGTCGAGGAGAGAGGAGGAGACAATGGAAGGTGCAGGTGCGTCCATCGTCAGTCACGCTGCTGAACTTGCGACACGGGACACCTACAAGCAGCTGGAGCTTCCCTCCGCCATCCAGGACCTTGTACGGCGTCTGGAAGGACAAGGCGAGCCTATAACGCGGCTTCCCGATTTAAGCGGGCCAGAATTTGTGAAGTTCTTTCCGAGGGGTGAACCGCTCTCGGCGATCACAGAGTGGCGAAGCAAAGTGCGCATTCGAGTGCTGGAGGCAATCGGCAGATGCAACACCCTTGAGGTTCTCTGTGTGTGCGATATTTTTGGCGGATATGGTCGGGTTGACCATATATCGATGTTGACGTCTAGCGAGTGGGATATGGTTTTGAGAGGTTTCAGGTCTAGCACAGTTCTACGAGAGATAAGCACTGAAGGTTGTATGTTGGGTCCAGCTGAGGAACGGGAGAGCTGGTGTTTAAAACTGGAGACAATTTTGAAAACCTCTAGCGTGACAGTTTTGAGAATAATACATTGCACACTCAATGCCAGATGTTTCTCGATTCTTGCCTCAGGACTGCGAGGAAATCCCGATTCGAAACTCCAGTCTTTAGAACTAAGCCACGCGTGGGACTCGAGTGCGTTGAAGCATGTGGCTGACATGATCAATAGTGCTCCTCTATTACAAACCTTGTGTATACGCGGCCCCTTTTTCATCTCAGAACGAGAAGACGTGCATGATGAGAACTTTGGAATGCTGTCCCAGGCTTTGATCCAGAGTTCGTCTTTCAAAGAATTGCGGTTGGAGTATTTGGACTGGGGACATGACTTATTGCTGAGAGCATTGGCCAGAGCTGATGGCAACCGATCCATTGAACGTCTGGTGGTGCAATGCAGTAACTACCATCTTTGTGATGAATACGGTGGTTGTTTAAGGAAACTTCTTACTTGCAACCCATCATTGAAGGAAGTGGAGGTGAACACCTTGCGGATGCGTCGTAAGGAATGGCGCAAGCTCGGCGAAGTCATACGTGACAATGCGGTAGCAACAACTATATTTAAGTTTGAAAGTTGCACTCTTGTAAATCGCTGGAAGTCAATAGAAGCTCTTGCGTGGGCTGCTTGCTCCGATGTTAAGTTACCCACGGTGGAGCTTCATATAGATTTGGATTTGGATTATTATGATTCATCATATCACTATAACCATACACATATGATGTTATCATTAAACCTATTAGGTAGGGTACTGCGCGGGGAAAACACATCTCTAAAATCTCTGAGTATATCAGCTCGTGATAAAAAAATTATCACTTTCAGTATCCTCCCGATGGATGGGAAATCTAGAGAACCTTCAGTCCTGAAGAGACTGGAATTATCTGTTCGAAGCAAATATCTTACGGAGGGAGCATGGGAGGGCCTGGTTTGTTGCATGCGAGGGAACCACCTCACTCACCTGGATTTGTCCGACTCTGAACTCCACGAGGGAGCGTTCAGGGACCTGATGGGGGTCTTGCAAGTGAACTTGGCTCTCCAGGAAATAGAAGTCTCGCGAACATCATGGGCAAGTGACGGAAAGGCGGCGCAGATTCAAGAGGGACTAAATCGGAACCAGAAGCGGGCCGTCTATATGTCCGCATTCAGAGAAGCCAAATTAGCATTTGGAGATGCCAAAGCTGGTCGGCTCTTCTTATGCGGCTCTCCCAGAGCAGGTAAGATGCGCCGTAAATTCTCAATTTTTCTTTCAATTTATGCCAACTAGCTATCTATAGTTTTACTTTTCCAAACCTAAGATCCACACAACAATTGCTATTTTGATCTAGATATATCGATGTGTGTATAAAAATAGTAACGGAGAGGAAAAATTCAAATATTTAAATTATTAATTATATAACTTCAATTGTTTTAGTGATTTTTACATGTTTGCATCAAACTTATCTTCACATTTAAAAAAGATTATCATGTCATATTGTATCTAAATAATATCTTATCAAAACATATTTGAATATTTTTAATTAAAATTGTATGTTTTGTGATTCTTTTCTCCAATGTGCAGGCAAGACTCAACTGCGGAAAACCCTAATGAGTATAAATCAGGGCAAAAGCTGGCTAGGCATAACCAGTGTGTTCAATAAATGGGATGCATTGTGGAGGACGAAGGGAATTGAAGTGGAGGTGTTGCAAAACAACGACAAAATGCAAATCTCAGTTTGGGATCTTGCAGGACAATGGATTTTTCATACCCTTCAAAATGTACTTTTCCCTCAAACCAACAGTTTTTGTGTTTTTCTTTTTGTGTATAGCCCTTTCTGTGAAAAAACATCTTCATACAAACCAGTCTCTTGTTTCAGACTTGAGTTGGAAGACTGGTTGAGTTTCATCACATCCAGCATTCAGGTCACAGGACATGATCTTCCTCAAGTTTTTGTTGTAATCTCACACAAGGATAAAGCCAAATACAACTCTTTGGCTTGGGCTTACCCCATAGTTGAGAAACTCACCAAAAGATTCGCAAATTTTGTGGATCTTCGTCCCATTCAAGAGTGTTTTCATGTGGATGCTCGGAAGAAAAAGCAAGTCATCCCTCTCAACTGTCAAATTTTTGAAAATTTCAACAAGTTGTTGAAAGAAAAATCTCCACAGGTTCCCCAATTGTGTACTCAACTCACCTCCCTCTTGGTTACAAACACCAAGAAGAACAAAAGTTGTCCTCTGTGGGATTCCAAAAACTTCCATGATTTTTGTGCTCCCAGCTTAACACAATACATTCCATCATCTTCTGCTCATTCTGATGATCATTCAAGGATAATGGAGTCTATCATATCCTATTTGAATGACGTTGGATCCATCATATATATCCCCAACCTTGATTACATTATTGTCGAACCGAACTGGCTGACCAATACTTTCTTAGGTGAGCTAATAGCTTTGGGTCAACACTTTCAAGCTCAAGAGTGTGAGTACTCTTGCAGAACGAGCTCATACACAAGCAAGGACGGAATTGTGAGTGACAGTGTTTTTGCTCAGTTGATAGAAGAGTTTCTGAGAAATCAACCAGATGAACAGAGAGGCGTGGACAAAGAGAAGCTTGAAAACATCCTTGTCAATTTAGATTTGTGTTTCAAGCTCAAAGATACTTCTCAGTATTTCATTCCTTCCTTCATCCCTGAGCATGCAAGCATGGAAGAACATAAGCATCAAGAAGGGGCGCACTTGGAATCCATGTATTGGGAAAATACGGGCGAGACATCACAATTTGTTGGCATTCGGATTGAATGCAAAGATGAAAGAACAATGTCACTCACTGCTGCTTTTTTTCCACGCTTCCAGGTAAGATTGGATCATGATTTTATATAGACTCTGGAAATATTGGATGACTCCATTTGTGATTGTAATTTGCTTATGATGAACATAAAATTTACTTTTTATTTACTGTTAAAAATTATTCGAATGTCCAACTTAATAATTACAAAAATTGCTATCATTGTAGATGTTCATGAGGCGCAAGTTGATATCCGATATGCATGTTTCTGAGAAGACTCTCACTTGCTCTCGACATTACATGCGACTTTTCTTGGACGGCATCAGATATACATCGAGCACGTTCAGAGTGAAAGGTCTCACAAATACGTAGATGTTTTGATGTTATGCTCAAGGCATAAGTCAAGGGAGGTGGCTACTAAGTATGTGATGAAGCATATCGTCCAGGAGTTGATATCATTTTGCGCATCACCCAAAGGCTGTCCCGGGGTGGCGTTAGTGTTGGGTGTGATCCAAACATTTTGAGTGAAGATGATGATTCCGAGTCAACTTAGAGGAGCAATTCTAATTGAGAAGCTGAAATCGGATTTTATTTGTAGCATCAACGACAAACTTCAGGAAATGCCGTTGGAAAGGTCGGACTTTGTGGAGAAGGAAGAGTTGTTTCAATATGAGCAGTGTTGGCCCCCGATTGAAAGTCACATGGGCGGAATTTCCGAAAAAGCTAGGGACTTGTTGTGGGAGAGCGAGGTGGAAGCAGTTGTGAATGAGATTCGACAGAAACGAATTCAACAATTGAAGACATTGCAGGAAGGTCTAATTAGCGTGGACAATGATTTGGCTCAGTCAAACCTTGAAGGTGAAAGCATGGTTAACGACTCGAATTTGCCCCAAGTGAAAGACTGCAAACCACCTACATCCAGGTGCTTGAGTCGGGCCAGCACAAGTGTGGAAAGTGGTTCCACCCGACTTGTTTGGTTAAAGATCGATCAGCTAGAAGTAAAGCTAGCACAAAAGGTTGATGATTTGGATGAGAGATTGAAATCAGTGGAGAGCATTGTGGAGAAATTGGACATGAAGATGGGCCAGATAATCTCTCTGCAGCAAGAAATGCAGTCAGCGTTGAGTGCCTTCATGTCTAAAGTGGATAGAATTGTTGAGTATTCTCAAGCACTTTCGCAGTCTAGAACGCCCAAGCGACCTTACGTTACGGATGATGTAGGACTTTTCTATAGGATGAGTGCAATTCTGCATGTTGGGACAACCGTTCGTTTACACTTGATGTGTGAGTCAGTGACTGGGTTTCACATAGTCAAAGATCAAGAAGGTTTGAAGATTCGCTTGGATCGGGAAAATAGCACGTGGATTCGAAAAACCATTGAAATTTCACTCAAAGTCATGCATTATGCTGTGAAGGCTGGACTAGATGTGACCCTTGGGTTGGGTAAAGCGATTCCGGAGTGGGAAGATTTAAAATCTGATATTGTTCAACTAGACAGTATTAGTGATAATGATCGTAGGGCACTTCTAAAAGGTGGAGAAAGCAAGGAGCTGCAGGAAGCATGGTTGAGGATTCAGCAAACTCTTGCGCCTCAGCTTCAAAATCATTATTCAGCAATCTTCAGGTTGTATCAGGTGACATACAACAAAGGTGGGCATGCATGGGTGTGCGAGAAGTGCATGAATAAAGGCATTCGTTGTGGAATTTTGACTAGTTAGAATTTTGAAGAGGTAAGAATGCCACTATGCAATTGAAATCATATGTTTAGAACCTCATGCAATATAAAACTCTCCAAAATGTCCTGTACAGTTTTCACAGGTACAAGTGTTTTCTAATCTTTGCCATCATGTCAATCGCACAGTTATGTTTCTGAAGAAGATCAGTGTTCTATTAAACTGTCAAGACGACTTTTTGAGAGTAGAGTATTTATATTGAGAGAAGAGTATTCGGTGGTACAATGTCAAGTCAAGTACAAGTCAGTGGTACAATATCCATCAGTTGAAGTACTTCTAGATAGTTATCTTTCTCATGGTTCAAACCCCGCACATACTTTGGACTCAACCTGCCTAGCTAGTAGAACACAAGAATATCCCCGTTTTTTGTAATTCTGGGGCGATCTGTTGGTAGATGGAGATGGTTTCAGGATATGGTTTGTGATTTTCAGCATAAGCCTACTATTCGTTGGCGCTCGACACCTGAAGAGCCTTCGTTAGCTACTGTATTCTCTTCGGAGGTGATTGTAAGATATCTTCGTCACCAGGACTCTCTCGATATCCACCATCATCCGTTGGGACACTAGTGGTGACCTTGTTGCTCTGCTAATCTCTACTCTCACTTTGAACTGACGTTCATCAGGCTCTTTGATAGATGCTTCAAATGGTGCTTAAACGTCAGGTTTCTGAGGTGATTGTTCTCATTCATGTTTTTGTGTGCCACCTGATCCATCACTTAATAGTACGTGCGCTAGTCTGGGATCATAAGTTAATCACAGCGTACATGTTCACAAGTAAGGAAGAGATGGAAATTATCCTTGTCTTTAATTATCCTCTCCTCGCTCGATCATTGCGAGCTAAAAACCATGTCTCAAGTGATATGGAAATATGAGTTCATTCATCATTCGACTTTGTGCATACAGAAGTAAGTCAATTGCTCAAGTAAAACTAGTTGATTTAAAATGAACACCACTTTTAGTACGAAATTGTATCGAAGTTATTCACATGATATGCACATTTATTCAGCGCCTGATATTGCTCTACACGTGCCGAATCTCTTTAGGTTCCGTTACCAGCTCGGAAATGCAGAGGCGAAGTGGACCGTAAAGTATAGATCTATGAAGTCTTCAGGCAACATGTGCTAGACAAAAAGGGAAATTTAAGAATTTAAGACGCTAGAAGCCCAGAAAATTTCTGCTGTATTGTGTTGAAACGTGTCCTGTTTCGCTGACATGAGAGAGACTCTTTCTATATGGACGACGGGAGTTATGAACATATACTCACGGCAATGTCTGCCACTGGATCAGCATTTGTTGATTTAAATCTGGTACTGTGGACTCGACAGGTGATGATATTCAAGATCGCATCTGCTAATCCACTGCACGCCATTTGTAGAACTATTTATGTGTTGTCAGAGTTTTTCCTTCGATATTCTTCGTGCTACACCTTGATAGCATGCTTTTTCCTGGCCAGGATCTTAGCACAATGTGAAGCGCCAGCACGCGCAGAACTGTCTTGTGTATAAATGTGGTAGTTTCCTAGCACGAATGCATTAACAATTGGACTGGGTGTGGAAGTTGAGTTACAGGGACTCATAACATAGAGAATAAATTTTCTAAGGATGCACGACCTCATTTGCTTAACATCAAGGGGGAATGTGATTTTCGTTGCAAAGTCCTTATTACTCGGATATTAAGTCGACACTCATCTCGCAGAAAGTAAATAAAGTTTGGATTGCAACAATCATCAGTGTTTAGTGAACTAGCCTATCTATCTGTTAGGGAGATATTCCACTAACATTGTCGTTTAGGCAGTTGTAAATAATGGTTCGAGCTCAAAGACAAAATGTTTTAAAGACAAAGTTACACATCATGCACAAGATATGAATTCTCAGCGCATGTTCTCAGCTAATCCCACATTGCAATTTTCCGTCAAATCAGAGTAACTTCACAGCGAGTTTTCTGCGTTACAGACCACTAGAAGCATGTAACAAGAAATTGTACGTGTCTGGCACAAGACAGTACATCTGACGGGGATTGATTTGGCAAAGCAGGCAGGTTGAGTCAAAACTTCATGTCATCCAAGTTTGTGTAATACTACACGCAATTGTGGAACCAACTATTGCTCACAGGGTCGCTGTTTACCTACAAATTGGCCGTATTTCGTACCTGAAGTCAAATATAGGAGTGCGATACAAGTCTTTTTTGTTCCCATTTGTGGTCGGTAAAGGATCTATTACCATTTACTTCCATGGCTCCATTGCGCACAATGAGGGTAACCAGCGCAAGAACATTAGAGGGCGACAAGCTGTAATAGAATGTACAGTACATTTGAACATCTGATTGTCTAAGGCAATCCTAGAGTGGAAGGCATGGACCCATAATGATCAAGTCGATCTGTCTTCTGTCTCATAGAAATGGAGGCATGATCAGAATGGTAGTAATCAAAGGACTGAAAAATACATCAAAGGTGACAGAATTTTCCACAGCGAACTGTTTTATTCATATGGATACCTCCTTGGGTGAAATGAAATTTAGTGTATCCACGATGATCATTTGAAAATTTAAATAGAAAATCAACTCTACTCTAGAAAACATCATAATCACTCTCATGACAATGGCTTAAACCAAAGATTGAGTTTTCAAGTAGCAGTACATGCCTCAGATAGCTAAATATTTTGTATAAACTCTCACAACTTTTAATATTTGAACTATCTAGTATCATTCAAACTTTTATTTTTTCATTTTTGTTATGTTCTTATAAAATATCCACAAAGATTTCACTTCCATATCATTCAAAGATATACCTTGCATTGAAGATATCACACGATAATATACAAGTCTTGTGTATCCATCTTATTATGTTTATTTAGATGTTACGGTTATTAAATAATATTCACTATAACATGTCTTCTCATGTAGATTTTTTTGTTAACTCCATGTAAATTGATATATAATTATAATAGATTGAAAATTGAAATAATTATAATTGTAAAAAATTCCAAAAACTTGTAATCTCGCAATTGGACTAAATTTTTAAACTCCAAGAGAGGACATATGGACATACCAAACTTCTTTAAGCAACATAGATTGGAAAAAATAATATATGAGAAGTATGATATGCCAAGTAAAGATTTAAAACAAAAATACTGAAGTTCTCACATTTTAATAGCAATCTTGAGAATTTAAAAGTTTAACATCACTCTTGAAAAATTTTTAAATACACTTTTACATTTTACCATTGATATAGCCATAATAATTTTCTATTTACTCAAAATTTTGAAGTCTTGATATTTTGTGTTGCATTTTTATGGTACTTTTTAATTCTAATATATCATGATCAAATTGCTCAAAATTCCACAAAAGTTCAAACAAGTAATAGGAGAATCCTCAATTGTTTAAATTTTTTCATCTTTGATAATGAGCACTGTCAAATTTAAATTTTTTTATAATTGAAAACAACTTCGAATTGATTTCAAATTTAGATTTTAACCAAAATAAAAAACCTACCATTTAAAAAAAGTTGAATTTGATGCAAATCAAATTTTGAAACTAGTTAATTATGAATCGAATTATATAAAAGTGTTAAGTATTTTATAATACTCTTTGTCAAAGCTCTGAGCCATTTAATTTTAAAAAAATATCTTATGATAGATTCAAATGAAGGTATTGAAAGTTTAACCGTTGGCAATTTAATTTCTTAGTTTTGGTATTAAAACAAGATATAAACTTTCAGATCCAAATCTACATTGTAAAATATAATGGTAAATACCATATGATCCAAATAGACTATACTTTGCCAGTTGAACTATTATCAAAGTGATATAAGAACCAAATTTGAAAATGATATTTATAAAATTTGTACACTTTATTTTCACATTGACTTGTTCTTTTCAAAACAAATTAGTATTAGTATTTATTATCGGTAAATCACATGCATGCACAAGAGACATATAACATGGTTCACCCTTCAAAGGATTACTTTCACGGCTAGAATACGCGAGAGTTTACTGTGGTAACCCACTTTTTGTTTTTTTTTGCGGAATTAAAACAATTTTGGAAAATGAGTACTGCAGCAGCATCTGTAATTAGTAAACGGTACATTAAATAGAGTAAAATGAGAGGATCGCAGGTCACGGAGAATCACGGAGTTGGGCGCAACGGCGCCTGGCACCTTCGGCAACATCTCCTTTGCTGAGGTGTCTTCGGCGATGCGCCTTCGGCGCATACGGAAGGTACGCCTTCGGCGCAGACACCTCCAGAAGAGATGTCGCTGAGGATGTCAGAAGCATGCGAGACAGGCAACCTCACAGATGTGCCTTTGGCGCAGGGTTGAATCCTTTGTAACGTTCTAAATTTGTGGCGCCTCAACTCGGTTAGGGTCTTGTTGGAAAGACCTCGACACGTTCCTTCTAACGAGTCCAAGAGCTCCTAGAATGGATCAAGGATGAGAGAGTTATGGGCATCGACAACTTGCCTTCTGTAATAACCCACTAAAGGCTAAAACTGCAATATAGTGGTAGAAAGGTTGAACCCACAGGGACAGAGGAACACACAGGGTACAAAGTGTCACGTTTAACAGACTATTGAGGAGTTTGAATTCTCAGGCGATTGTCACTCCCAGAAATACTGCAAGTGTCCACTCGGAGCGCACTCGGAGGTCGCGCAGTGCAGCGTAACACACACACACACACACACACACACCTGAAACTACAGAAACACAACCCAGAGATCGGTTAGGACCTCTATTCAAGATTTCAGGGGGAAGTTCTCTCAAGAGTACACTCAGCGAAGCTGCGGGTAGTGACTCCCAACTCCGGCTTTTACAACACTTCCACTAGCTTGCTGCTAGCGTAGGAAACCCGGTTTGGACTACCTACTTCGGATCGAAGTCACTCATACGCGGTGAACAACACTCTCAACCTCACAAAACGCGCAGAGAACACAGGTCCGCACTGAAGTACTCACTGAGAAATATTCCAGTAACACACCACAATAGTCTATTGAAGAGTTTGAATTCTTAGGCACTTGTCATTCCCAGAAATACTA